CACTGGGGACCCAGGCCTGCCACCCAGCCTGGCCCTCACCACTCCTGTGCCCTAGTCAAGTACTGCCCCTGAGGACCAGGGTCTGATCCCTGGCCTCCATCCTGGGCTCATCTCACTTTTCTGTATTAATCTGGGGACTTCCTCTCTTTGGGTCTTGGCATTACCAGCTATTAAGCCTTTGTTCCAAGTTAAATTATAAAAAGGCGCCCAGAATGTATTAAAACCAAAGAGAAAATTGGCAAGGATCCCAGTGAGTCATGAAGTCCTGGAGTTCCCTGTCCTCCTTCTGCAGGAATCCTAGAAAGGGCTTCAGCCACTGATATGATTTCCAGATGGATTCCCAGTGGAATAAGCAGGAGATTCCCTGTGTCCTCAAACAGGGAGATGACGCTGAGCTAGACATTCACTCCCCAAGAGTTGTGAGAGGGGGGAGATGACATGGAAACCACAGGAGGAGAGATGAGGATAGTGATGGTAGTGGTGATGGGAATGGTGATGAGGATGAGGAAGAGGACAGTGATGAGGATGGTGATAACGATGCCATGACGCACAAATGAACTCAAGTACCAAAAACAGCATCACACAACTACGCTCGTCAGGTGGGGATAGTATCCATCTTGGTTCCTAAACACAAGGAGCCCTGGGTCCGCAGGGTGTCACACAGGTTGCTATGGACACTGACACTTTGCAGACAAGCTGCAGTTCATCTCGCACCCTCCACTCTAATAACAAAAGCAAAGTGTCGGGAAAGGCATTTCCACCCAGAGATAAGGTTATGCGAACCACACCTGCAACCCGTAGGTGACATCACTGTGCTGGGCGGAGCAGGGCTGGTGTCACAGTTGGCCCCAGAGGCATGGCTGGAATCCCTGCTTCACACCCTCTTAGGTGAGAGGTCTTCTGGGAGACCTGCAGGAAGGGAGCTCCTGTTCTGGCTCTCCTCCTCCAGCAGGGGGCAGCAGAGGCAACAGGAGCATCAGGTGGGGGCCGCCCAGGAGGAGGCTCAGGGGAATTAGCCCTGGGGGTCCACTGGGGCCTGAGGGTCAGGCCTGGCAGGAAGTCGGGACTGACCACCCCATCCCCTGACAGCACAGGGACCACGTTGGAGGTTCACATGCACAGTGCCCCCCAGGACACTGAGGGGACAGGGCTCAGTGCATGCCTCCCCACCCACCAGGATCCTTCCAGGCTGACAGCCCCATTGAGCCAGCCCAGCAGAGTCCACAGGCTGGGGTGGTTGGGACAGTGTTCAGGAGGTCAGACACAGGAAGGGCATTGTGACCACGGCCCCTGGAGGCCAGGTCTCTTTTATGAGCATGAGAAGCCTGGGAGGAGGCTGAGTGAGTTGCCCTGGCTTAAGGATTGGTCACAAGCCCTAAGGGGGGGGGTAAATTTGCATAAAAACAAACCCTCCTGCCCCAAAGCTCTGAGGGAATAAGAGGGACCTTGAGGAGCCCTGCTCTGCTGTGGGGTCTCAGAGACAGAGCTCAGGGCACCTCCATCATGGCCTGGACCCACCTCCTGCTCCCCCTCCTCTCTCTCTGCACAGGTGCTGCCTCCAGGGCTCAGACCCAAGGGTACCCAGAGATCAGCCTGGCCCTGAACATCAGCTCAGCACAGGGGATGCTGCGGGGTGCGTGGTCCTAGGAAACAAGAGCCTGGTCCCTTCCCTCACTCTCCTCTCCTCTCCTGCAGGTTATGTGGCCTCTTCTGCACTGACTCAGCCCTCCGCGCTGTCTGTAACCTTGGGACAGACGGCCAAGATCACCTGCCAAGGTGGCAGCTTAGGTAGCAGTTATGCTCACTGGTACCAGCAGAAGCCAGGCCAGGCCCCTGTGCTGGTCATCTATGATGATGACAGCAGGCCCTCAGGGATCCCTGAGCGGTTCTCTGGCTCCAGCTCTGGGGGCAGAGCCACCCTGACCATCAGCGGGGCCCAGGCCGAGGACGAGGGTGACTATTACTGTCAGTCAGCAGACAGCAGTGGTAATGCTCACAGTGACACAGGCAGATGGGGAAGTGGGGCACAAACCCCCTCCATCTGTGTCACCCTCTCCTCCAGCCCCAGGAGGCCTGTGGACAAAGCAGTGACAGGTCTGGCCCGGTTCCTCCAGATCTGAGCTCCCAGGCTGCCCTCCCTTCTGCCCTCCAGGCAGCTCTGCACACGGTGGATAAAGAGTGAAACATGGCCTGGCTGGACCAGTGTGTCCTGGGGTTTTCTGAACAGACCATGAATAAGGGACAGAGGTCTTGAGTGAAAGGACAGTCAGAGGGACACAACCAACCAATGGCAATTATCTCAGTATTTCCTTAAAGTGGTCACCAGTTTATCCAGTATTAGATCCCAGAATCTGCTCGCTCATCTGAGCCATTGATTAGCCAGCACCTTTCACACACACTCAGACCACTGAGTCCAAGGGGAGCAGCTGTGTTGACCAATAACCCTGATCCTTGTCCCTGAACTGATCGGGGTCAGGTGGGATTTCAGGGCTGGATCCTGAACCTCAGCCAGGCCCCCAGTGACAGAGAGCTGACAGGGAGTGTCCTGGAGCTGCCCATGTCCTGGATGAGGCCACGGAGGCAGGAGGGGAGGAGTGCCTGGTTTCCTGGGGAAGGATGGTTGCTGGTGTAGGGGAGCAGGAGTAGAGAGGATCCTGGGGTTCAGTCCAGCAGGGACCTCTGTCACCTGAGTCTGGCTGGACTCTCAGGGGACGCAGGGCCATCCCATAGCATCCCCGCAGTCTAGGAAAGGGTTGTTCTCTCCAAGGGTTTGCAGTGACTTTGTCCCAAACGTGCCCCTGCAGGTCCCCCTTGTGGGGCATGTCCTGCCCCCTTACACTAGAGGGAAGCAGCCAGGATAACAGCAGGAACATGTGGTCTCAGCACCTCCACACCCCAGGAGACTCTGCTTCTAAGAAGTAGAAGAAAGTCTACCAAAGCCTCTGATGGACAGACAGAGGGACAGACTGCAGGGAGTGAGGACGGGGAGGGAAAAGGGGGGCCAGTGAGGACTATTCCCCCTGTGCTTAAATGGAGACCAGCCAGGGAGGGGGCTGCCAGTACAGAGCTTTGGCCAGAGAGGGACAATCAGGGTGGGCTGACAGGGACAGCCCTAAGGCCAGCGTCCATCTGTGCCCACACATGCTCCCTCCCTTCCTCCCTCCCTGTTCTGGGGAGGGCGCCCTCTGCTCTCTCTGGACTTGCTGTTCACAGTCTCTCAGGGAGACTCTTGGGAATCTTCTTCCACTGTTTCTTCTTTTTTAAGTCTTAATTTACATACACTAAAAGTCACAAGTTTTAGGAACACTTTACGAGTATGTATAAATGCATATAGAGATGTAAGCGTCCCGCCACCGCAGCAGCCCACAGCTCAGTCATTCCCACAGCTGCCCCAGGTGCCTTGGGGGCGGCCCTTCCTCTGGCCCCACCTCTGGGACTGCTGGTCTGCTCTCTGTCCCTACAGGCGGGTCTTAGGTGTGTGTGTGTGAGGGTTATCACCCCGACATAAAATCTTTTTCCTCCACTGTTACTCTTTAGGTTCAAGTAAAATTATGGCTGCGTGTCTCTCAGACCTGGTTCTGGTCGAATTTGCCTGTTTCTCTAGCCCTGGTCCCAGGACATCATTCTCTGCTGCAGCACTGTTCCTGCTGAGTCGCTGTCATCCTGAAACCTTTCTCAAGCACTCAGGACTGTCCCTGGCCCTGAGCCGACCCTGGGGACACCAGGGCACAGGATCTAGGACCTGCCCCAGGAGCCCTCAGCAGGGACAGAGCAGGGCAGCTCCTAAATGCCTCCCTCGGGCGCTGGTCACAAGCACGCTCCCCAGCAAGCCTGCCACAAGCTGGCTGCACCCCAGAGTCAGGTCTTAAGAGAACCCCCTGCAGAGGGGTGCACCAGGGCCGTTGGTCATCTACGCCCTCAGTATCGGGGATAAACACCAGAAATGCTTGAGCAGAACTTAGTGGTTGAATCTGATCCTCCTGCACTTAAGATGCCCCTTTAGGTAAGATATTAAATTTAAAAGGTTGGGGGAATTTTAAATATCTCTCCATCTTTGTGCCAATACAATATCTTTTGAGAAAAATGCTTTCACCTCATGGGAGGAGCCTGAGATGGAGAGTGAGTGGGGGGTGGGGGAGGGCTGATCAGCAGGAGGCAGGGGGCGCCCTGTAACATGGAGCAGGGCAGAAGTGACTGGACTCGACACACCCCTCTGCTCCAGATGAGTGAGGGTGGGCAGAGCTGGGCACACAGGAGACAGGGGACCTGAGCACAAGGTTCGCCGAGCAGCACAGCTGGACCAGGACCTATCTGGCTCAGCCTGAATCCAGCCCTCAGACATTCTAAGTCCAGGAGAGGGTGGGGCAGGCCTCAACGCCCAGGGCTGCACCTACACCAGTAGGAAGGCCCACCCCATCCCTTGAGGGGCCCCAGGGTCCAGCCAGAATAGGATTTCCAATCACAGCCACCACAGTAGGATGTGGTCTGGTGGTGGCTGGCCGGAGGCTGTGGCATGTGGGAGGGACTGTGGGTTCAGGAATTACTGAGCTTTGGGCCAGCCTCTTTTTCTCCCCAAGAACTGGGGCTGTCCCAGGGGGAACCATAGCTTCTGGGCCTTGGGCCGTGGGTGTGAGGAGGGACCCTGCCCAGCCCACAAGGTATGAGGATCCTGGGCCTTAGGCTGGAGTGGGCCGAGCAGTATAGTGAGGAGAAATGTGGACTGGATCAGGGGCTCTCCCATTCCCTGCATGATGGCTGCTACATCGCCCACGCCCCATTACTATTCAGTACCAGGCCCATCTCCAAGGCCAGGGATCTGCGTGTGTTGTGAAGTCCAGTCCTCAGCTTGGGGCCTGGCAGCCTGGGGTTCTTCCAAAGCTGCTCCATGAGTTTGGTCAGACCACGATCACCACCATCGATTTCAGGTCTTCCTCCCCCTCACCTCCGTCAGTGTCCAGAGCTGGGGACGGTCTGGGATTTCATCCTGCCTGCAGGATAA